TTTTGCTTCCTGTCCCCTCGACCTTATACTCTGCAGGCCTAGAGGTCTTAGTTCCAAAGGGAGGAATCCTCCCACCTGGAGACATATCACTGATTTGACTGAACTGGAAGAATGCCACCTGGCCACTTTGGGCTCCTTATGCCTCTGGATCAACAGGCAAAGAAGTTAGTTACCATACTAGCTGGTGTGATTGATCCTGATTACCAAGAGGAAATTGGATTGATATTACATAGTAAGAGGTAAAGAAGAGTACGTCTGGAATGCAGGAGATTCCTTAGGGCGTCTCTTAATAGTACCGTGCCCTGTGATTAAAGTCAATGGAAAACTACAGCAACCTATTTCCGACATGACTGCTAACGACACAGACCCTTCAGGAATGAAGGTTTGGATCACCCCCCCACCCCCAGGCAAAGAACCACGACCAGCTGAGGTGTTTGCTGAGGGCAAAAGGAATACAGAATGCGTGGTGGGAGAAGATAGTTCTAAATACCAGTTACTGCCATGTGACCAGTTGCAGAAATGGGGACTGTAATTGTTATGAGTATTTCTGCATTGTATGTGTGCATCAAATATTTTTGTTTCTTTCGCTTATAAAATATAAGCTGTAAATGGGGCTAGTGAGTTTTCAATTGTACGTCTGTTAGTTGTATCATGTTAGGCGCAAGCATGACTTTCTAATTGTCTTTATTCAGAGCTTATGTATGGTTTAAGGAGACGTGTACATGTGCCAAGTTGACAAGGGGTAGACTAGATTGTGTGTCAACTTGGCTGGGCCATGATTCTCAGTGTTTTAATGTGATCACTCCCACGATTGAATATACTGTGAGTAGCCAATCAGATGAAAGGGAGTCTCTTCGGGGGTGTGGCCCGCATCTGAATATAAGCAGATGTTCTGGCTTTTTGTTCTCTCTGGATCCTGCAGCTGCCTCCTGTCGTCTCATCTCTGGTTCTTGGGAATTGAGTTGTCAGCTTATCTGTCGAACTTGGGAATATGTCCATCTGCACAGCCTGTGAGCAGGAGCCCTGCTCTCCGACTGGCTGATCTTGGGCTTGCCAGCTTCCGTGGCTGCATAACTTGGGAGAGGTCTCTACCCTGATCCACGGACTTGGGACATTCTATCCTCTATAATCATGTGAGCTGTTTCCTTGATATAAATATATATATATATATATATATACACACTTGACTGGTTTTGCTCCTCTAGAGAACCCAGCCTAAGACAAGGGACATTACAACAGACCCAACTGAAATAAAAAGGATCATAACAGAGTATTATGAAAAACTATACTCTATCAAATTTGAAAATCTAGAGGAAATGGATAAATTTCTAGAAACACACTACCTAACCAAACTACAAAAAAGTGATATTGAAAATCTGAACAGACCCAAAACAAGAGAAGAGATTGAAAAGGTAATAAAACAAAAACTCCCAACAAAAAAAGCCCTGGCCCAGATGGCTTCACTGGACAATTCTACCAAACCTTCAGAGAAGGGCTATACCAATACTACTGAAACTATTTCAGAACATAGAAAAGGAAGTGACACTTTCTAATTCATTCTATGAAGCCAGCACAACCCTGATACCAAAATCAGGCAAAGATGCCACAAAAAAAGAAAATTACAAACCAATATCGCTCATGAATATAAAAGCAAAAATTCTCAATGAAATTCTCGCCACTAAAATTCTGCATTATATCAAAAAAATAATACACCATAACCAAGTAGGATTTATACCAGTTATGCAAGGATGGTTCAACATTAGAAAATCAATCAACATAATCTACCACATAAATCAAAGAAAGAAAAGAATCACATGATCATCTCAATTGACACAAAAATGGCATTCAATAAAGTCCAACACCCATTCCTGATAAAAACTCAATAAAATAGGTATAGAAGGGAAATTTCTCAACA